GGGGTTGGACTGGATGATCTCCTGAGGTCCCTTCCAACCCCTCCAGTCTGTGACTCTGTGGTATAGTGCAGTCCCTTTTCAGCCAACCTCACTTTGCTGGATGGCACTTGAGCTGTGTTGTGGGTGGTTAATTCATTAAAGAAAATAGTTCAGGGTAGGAAAAGCCTGTTCTGACCTGATGTAATCAAGTCAGGTGGCACGGTGCACACCAGGGTTGGGATATGCAGAAGTGCCATTGATCACACTCCTCTTCCTGCAGGAATTCCGTATTCACGTGGATTAGCGCTCTCACCAGGACTGTTTGTCAGAACCCAAGGGGTTTGTTGGTAATGCACTAGTTAGGGGGCTGGTGGTTTGGATTTGCTGTCAAATTGAGGGTGTGCACAGGAATCTTCCTTCTGCTGTTAGTCACAACTTCTGTCTGTTTGAATATTTCCCCAGGAGCTGGAGGCTGCGTTCCAGCCGGACACAAGTTTGGTTTCTGTGATGACTGTGAATAATGAAATAGGAGTCAAGCAGCCAGTTCATGACATTGGTGAGTCCACGTGGCTTCCAGGGGCAGGCTAGTGTCACTCTGCTTCCTTTTAATTACTGCTATTATTCATTTTAATAGCCAAGTGCTACTGATGCAAAATGTGAGATTTAGTTTCTTTAAGGAATAAATAATAATGCTGCCCCAAAGAACTTATTTTAAAAGGGAAATAAGGCTGAAATTCAGTGTTTTTACAGCGAGTGTTGCAGCAGTTTTAGCCTTGTAGTACAGATCAGCTGCAGTGTTTCTAGTTTCATTCTGAATTGTATGATGGATGAAAAAGTTGCACAGAATAGTTGGTCAAATTGAGTTTACTGTAATGGTAATTGGTAATGTAATGGTTTATTGTAATGGTAATACTGTAATGGTTTATTGAGCACTGGGAGTGTTTAAGAAGGGAAACGTGCAGAATTTGGGATGGTGAGCACTACATTTAGACACCCCTCCCCACCAGTATTGCCCTACACGGTCATGAACAATCAGTTTGGGGGTCAAAAGGCCACTTAAGAGCCAGGTTTCTGGAACAGGCAGCAGGAAGAGGGTGAGCCAGGCTCTGAGCGGGCACAGGGAGAGACAGGGCCCTCAAAGTGGTCTGAGAAAGAGGTGGAGAGAGAGCTGGAGAGCCAGGGTGGTTGGAGCAGGCGGGGTGAGTGGGTGGCCTGCAGATGCACCTCCCTGGATCCCATGGTGATTCCTTGATAACATTTGCCGTGACAGTGACATAACCCACCCCCACCTCCTTCATATTCACGATGTCCCTTTGTAAGAAGTTTGAGTTTTTAGACAGTTTTTAGGCTTTGGCCTCCACCCTGGAGTTTATATTCTGTGGTTATGAAGGGTTTTGTTTTCCCAGGCTGTGGCAGGCATCTTACCTTCTTGTGCAGCTCATTTTCCTCTTGCTTAGCTGCTGCTTTGTTAATTTTTCTTTATTATGCTCAAAGCAACATCTTCCCCAAGACTCTTCAAGGTTATGTTTCTTCATTGACAAGTAATTGACTATCAGTGAGTTACTTATAGGCCTGAGGTCTCCCATTTTCCTCCTGTGCTGATGTTGTCTCACACTGAAATGCCAGAGGGACCTGGTACCAAGCTCTGGTTCCCGCAGTAAGTTCTCATAACACCTGATAACAGGTGTGATGGGCCAGGACTGGGGCCTGGCAGAGTTGACCTAAGGCCCTGTTAGCGTGAGGCCTGTGGCCTGGTGTGAGCAGCATCAGTGCAGTTCTTGCTGGACCACAGGAGCACAACTTTTCCTGTGAGAGGTAACACTGAACTCGTGCAAAGGAGAGGTCTGGGATGCCACTGTGCGAGACATGGATTCTGTGGAAGATGAGTTGTGAGTTTTTGATGACAGAAACAATATTTTAAGTTCACTGCCCATGGACATTGCATTATTTTGTTCCTTAGTGTATTTTAGCTCTGGATACAAAAGCATTGATTACAGGCTCGAGTGACTTCAGGTGAGAGTGGTCAGTGTGTGTCAGGACTAGTCACAATTCTGAGAGCATTTTTGAAGCTGTGTATTGCAAAACTTGGAAAGTGGATGAAATGGCATAAAAATACTCGGCAAGTATAAACTTAAACGTAAGTCTGGCTTGTACTGGACTGGTGTTGAGAAGAAAAAGAATCAGAACTGGTCCCTGTTACAAACAAATGCTTTAGATTAATTGTTGGAATCATTGGAGTCACAATGATGAGCTGAGATAATGTGGGTTGTTTTACTTTTGTGCTTTTATTACAGGTGAGATCTGCCGTGCACGTAAGGTTTTCTTCCACACAGACGCTGCACAAGCAATTGGTAAAATTCCTATGGATGTCAATGACATGAAGATTGATCTAATGAGCATCAGTGGCCATAAAATTTATGGGCCCAAAGGTACTTACTGAAGCGCTTTTTTAGAGAATTGTTGTTTCCATGCCTACCCTAATGTAACTACACAAGGTACAAAGTTACGCCTGTCTATCATAGTGACTGTTACTTATACTGTAGAGAACAGTATTGGAGAGTATCTGAGAGTCTGAGTCCAATATCACTGAGTCCAATACCAGTAACTGACTTTGGAGTGGTTCAGTTGCTGCTGTTGGATTTAGAGATGTGGAAAGTGGATCTTCAATGCTGATGGGTTGTGAGGTGGCTTCACCAAAGGAAGAAAGCGTATCTTAGAATGATGACAGCAGTAAGAGGAGTGGCTTTTCAGGAGTCATTTGCTTGATGTGAAGCAGCAGTGATGTAGAAATGGTTGAAATTAAATTATTGGGTTATAGGGCAAAGTTTAGACCCAAGTGTAACTTGCAACAGGGAGATCAAAAGGTAACTAGAAAGTTTAAATTCTCAGTGATTTTGATTGTCTTTTACTTCCAATGGCTTTTTCCTGCCAGCCTCATCTGTGCATCTTCTTTGCAGCTTGGGGTTTAAAACCTGGCTATGGATTTTCTAGTTGACTCCCAAATAGTAAAAGTTCAGGTATTCTCACCATCAAGATCCATTTAGTTTGTAACCCTGAATGCAGATAGACAGAAATCAGGTTTGCTGTATTCTATGTGCTATCAGAAACAAAAGGCAAAATTAATATTTTTTCAATATGTCTTCTTTTTCTGCATGAGCTCCCCTGAGAGCTGCAGACATATCTCTGGATGAGGACTAAGTTTTCAACCACCAACTTTGGGCAGGTGACAGAGAAAAATTTTCACAACTCATTATCACCAGAAGTTGCAACCATTCTTCCTGTGGTGACAGTCACTTGTTAGGTGTGCCAAGGCACATGAAGACATGGAAATCAAGTTTCTAGGTGAGGAGACTAGAGAGTGAAATTGGCTGGCTGTCAAAACTGGCTCATCTAATCTGCCCCTTGGAAACTGGTGCCACTGATGAGTCTCCCTAAGGAGAAGAAAGGGAGAGGACTCCTGGGACTGGTGATGCAGGGAAAGGAGTTCTTCTAGAACTTTCAGTTGGAAGTCAGTAAGGGAACATCAATGAATGAAATACCTACACATGAAAACTTTAGTGCAAAGAAATGAATGAAATTCAACTGTGCACAGGAATTGTGAGAAGTAAGGGAAGTCCTGAGCCCTTAGGTGGCTGAAGCACAGTGGGAGACACTGAGCTTCTCCCATGGCTGAAGCTCTGGGAGTTTGAGTGAAGAGGAACATGAACTGTGGGAACAAACACCATTTCCTAGAAAATACTGTGCTTCTGTATGTGCTCACTGCATTTTTCTCCAGTGAGGTGTCCAGATATGTGTTTGCTGTGGAAATAAGGAATGTTTCTAAACCTTGCAGTCCCTTTTCGTAACTTCAGGACTGTGGGTATATACTAAAAGAGTTTTCCTTGTTTTCAAGGGGTTGGTGCTATCTATGTTCGCCGTAGACCACGCGTCAGGCTAGAGCCCCTGCAAAGTGGGGGAGGCCAGGAGAGAGGACTGCGGTCTGGGACTGTGCCCACTCCTTTAGCAGTGGGCCTGGGAGCAGCGTGTGAAGTGGCCCAGCAAGAGATGGAGGTATGTGAGAGAAGATATTTGTCCTGGATTCCAGAAAATAATATAACAGGGTTGGTTTGGTCTTCGATTCCTTAGGCCTTTTTGTGTCCACGTGCCTGAACTAAATTTGATTCTCATGTTGTAACGTTAAGTGTTTTGAGATCTTCAAGGATGTTTTTGGGTAATTGGAAGTTGATTTCGAGTTCTCTTAAGTCTCTTTTTTCTTGAAGTGGTTTGAATCATGATTTTCTACAGCAGGTTTACAGTTGACAGTTCTGGTGAAATGCAGCTTTAAGTGTACTCATCTCTCCATTCTGCACACATGTATTAGCAGCATCTCTGAAATGGAAAAAATCATGTTTATGTAATGTATATTGGAAAAAAAAATGGACTTCCTAGTCCATCAACATGCCCGTTAAATGTACAGAAGTTCAAGTTCACTGCAGCTTTGCAACTAAGAACTTCTTTTTTTCCCTAGCTTGGGCAGCAATGTTTATTTGCTAGGTGTAGTGTCTAAGCCTCTGTGTGCTGCTGTATCTGTTTGTGGGCACCAGTGCATTCCTTATAGCTGGAATGTAAAAATCCTTTAATACCGCGCCGGGGGGATGCGTAAGGCAGTGGGTGGTGCACGTAGCATCGAGCTTCTTCCTGGGAGCCAGGCAGAGGTCTGCCATCGGGGCTGGGTGGTTGTGGAAGCCTTGTTAGAGGCTGGAGAGCCTGCAGAGCCTGAATTCTACATGAGCCTCAGACCTGGATTCTCTTCCTTGCCTGGCAGAGTTCTGGTGTTTCTAAGCCAATATTTGAGGTAGCCTTGCTTTCTTCTAAAGCTTTTTCAAGTGTGTAAACAAGCATGAATTGCATGTGTGCGTCTGGCCATTTCTGTGCACCAGAGCCCATATCACACCTTACTGCTTTTTTACTGTAAGTGACCTCATTTTTTTGGTCTGGAATGAGACACTGTGCGTGGACAGGTCTCATTGGGCAGGTTACATGTTGTAAAAGCTGAGTGCATGGTGATTTGTGAGTCTGTGTCTTTATCTAGCACAGCTTGAGAGCTCCTAGGGAAATAAAGGGCCCTCACTGTAATGGATGCCCTTTCTTGTGTTGCAAAATGCATCACCTTATGCATCACCTAACTTGGCTTTAAACTCAAAGAACTTGGTGCTCTTATGAAAGCCAATTAGGCAGCTTGTGTATATAGATCTTTCTGAGTGGTTTGGAATATTTTTGAAGGCTCAGCTAGCTAGGACCAAACTGGTAATTCTCTCTTAAAACAATCTCCAGAGTAGAAAAAGTTTGACAGTTTCTTTTTCAGTTTCAGATGGTTTAACCAAACCCAGCTACTTCAGTCTGCTTGTGGCTGGTAACACAAAGCAGTTTGAGTGAGGTCAGACTGTACACTGTTGATTATTTTGGTCTCTTTTCTGGTTTCTTTGCTAGTATGACCATAAGCGAATCTCACAACTGGCAGAACGACTGGTTACAAAAATAATGAGTGAAGTTCCTGATGTGGTTATGAATGGAGATAGAGAGCATCGCTATCCAGGTAACATGAGCAAAATCCTGAGCCTGTGAGAACTGTCTCACTCCTCAGCGTTAACAGCTGTGACTGAATAAAGCACTTTAGCTACTTATTGTGTAAGTACTGCCCTGAGGGGTAGAATTGGCTCTAGATTTCAGTTATGGAAGTTGGGGGTTTTTTTTCTATTTTATTTATTTGTGCGTAGGCTGCATCAATTTATCTTTTGCCTATGTGGAAGGAGAAAGTCTTCTGATGGCTCTGAAAGACGTGGCTCTCTCTTCAGGAAGGTAGGTGGAATGTGTGGGAAGGTTAGCAGTGCATTTTGGAGAGAAAATGACATTTGCTAATGGAGGTACAGACTAAGGAGTGGTCTCCTCTGTGCCCCATGTTTGTATATTTGGTTAATGAGTCAGCCTGGCATTGACTGCATTTTAAGATGGTGTTTCTCTGAAGTGACACATCTCACATGGAGGTCAATTTTACTCATCTGGAAAGCAAAAAAACCTTTAAAAAAACCCCAAAAAACCCCACAAACAAAACCAGAAAAAAACCACAACCTGCCAGCCTTGCAGGCTGGTTACCTGCGATCTGAATAGCCTTGACTTGTAATTGCTGGTGACATTTTCATTCTAAAGGCTGCTGGCATGTGAGCAGATTCTGTCCTTCAGCACGATTTCACACTCCACATGACTGTCTCTGAAGCCAAACACTTCTGTAATTTGAAAATCTCTTCTGAGGCTCTGGTTTGTGCAGCTCTGTGCTGCGTGTTGCTGCCTGTAAAAGTTGAGCAACAACACGTAACCAGTTTTTCCTACTGCTTCAAGATGGAAGTTCTCTCTCCTGACAGCTGTAACCAGATTGTGGTGATGTGGATTCCTCTGTGCACTGTTTTTCATTGATTTGTTCTGCTGCCAAACAGCAGCTAGTGAAGCCTTTTTTGGTTTTTAATATTCCTGTTGGTATGTCACCTTCTCTGGCGAGTTCTGTCTTGACTCCTTTGTCTTTCTTCTTTTTCGTGACATTCACTTTGGCTACCTCCTAGGCTGCAGTCCCGCTGCTTCTGTTTGGCATTGTGTTTATTCTGACTGGGTTATCTGTGATCTTTCTTCTTACTTCATACTCCTGATTTATTACCCTCCTTCCCCTGTAATGCCTGCCCCTTCCATTCATTTTCTTCAGCAGCAGAGATACCACTCTTGCTTGTATTCAGTGCTGGTTTTTAAGAGGCTGGGAAGCTGATATAGGTTGTTATAAAGAGTCATGGTAATATTAAATGTCTGTAAGTGACCTGTTCTTTGTTGTTGAAGGAGATTAGTGAAGTGTTACTTCATTGTAGCATCTGCACATGAACAGAGGTTTGAATTTTGCCTGCCTTCCCTTTCCCCAGCGCTTGCACATCAGCTTCCTTAGAGCCTTCCTATGTTTTGCGGGCGATCGGAACAGACGAAGACTTGGCTCACTCATCTATAAGGTGCGTGGAGTGGTCTTCCCTAGTGCTTCCAAATATTTTTCTTT